AGCTAGTGTACTCTAGAAGTTTACTTATGATATAACAGCTTATCAATGCATTCCACAAACTACTGTGTATGTCCCTTGGTCTGTAACTTGCACATCAGAGGACTGATCTGCCACAGTATGATGTATGGACTTAATCAGCCAGATCTGAGCTGTTTCCATGCCACAAGCATATACCAAAGTCAGACCCAGTCTCCACCTGGTACATCCATTTCTTTACTGTATTGTTGTAGCACTTCTTCTGATGTTTGGCAGCCTTTCCTAGCTGTTGACATGCAATCTCTTACACACCAAGTAATGTAAACCTTGACCACTCCACATATTCTGGTGAACATTATAAGACATCTATTACAACAGGAAAGACCATACATTACAATGAAAAAGGAGCAGAATTTCTTGCATGGTCATGAGCATTTCAGCAAACATGTAGACCTTGTACACTGCTATGTATGCCATCATGATATACTGCACATATCCCAGTTGGTTTGGCCAGGGTTAACTAGCTGGGCAAGCATATAGTTAATATCTTATTACTCATACTGGGAAAGATAAAGTGAAGTATGCATGTTCATAACACCTAACTTTTTACATAACTTGGAGAACAGTTGGCTATTAACATTATCTTCATCATCTCTGTGGATCTCCAAACCATGCTGTCTAGTGCTCCACTATGAACTATGCCAAAATATTGATCAATGGGTAAACCTCACCCCACTTTGCAAAGTTGTCAATCAATGGCAATGGGTGTATACTAATGACTTCACCCAGTTTCTTTAAGTGGACCAGCAAAATCCTAGGCTATCCTCTTGTAAGAGATCTAACAGTTTTCTGTTTGAGTTTACCCTGTCTCTTTTTCTGGGTGGCACACATCATACAATGTTCACACTGATGCCAAACATGGCTTGGTGTATGGTAACAAGTGTACAATCACACTTTTCTGCACTGGTCAATAACACAGATTATGCATATCAGTGCTACATTCCTCTATTTGTATCAGGGTTTACCTTTCTGCATGGCAAAAAGCACCAATGCTGGTATTGTGCCCTTCAGTTCCTCTTCCATAAAGTCCTGAACTGTTAATTGCAGCATCTTTTTATGAGTGGAATATCCCACTACATGGCTTGATGTCACCATGGCAGAAATGTTTCAACTCCTATATAGTGTCCAGGATCATGGCATTCCATGAACAGACAAGATATCACTATGCACAGATAATCTGTCTGCGTATCTGTGTTATGAGTATGGGTGATGTTCTTAAAAATATTATCACAACATTGTTATCAAACATGTTATCATCCCTTCCAGATTTTTAAGGTTTAGTAACCATTACAGCAGAGCATAGTTATCTTAGATGGTGGATCTCCTATCATACAAAGTATTTGTGATGTTTATTGAAACTTCAACTACAAGCAGTTCTTTGCCATACAGTATGTGAAATCAGTAGTAGTGAGTGTAGGACTAACATACATGATTACACATTGTATTCCACCATGCAGCTATTATTATACTGCTACAATTCCAATATCACTGTTCACTAGGAATTATCTTGCCATGGATATGCAGGCACTGGAATCTCCACTAAAGCAAGCTTTAGGGATCAGAATGTCAGTTCACCTTCCTTGCTCCATCCAAAGTACATCTCAATTTTAGTGGGAGAAAACAACAATGCTACTACTTGGAGAACTTAGCCATAAACTGTCAATAATAAGATGCAAACCTAAGTAAACTGCATACTTTTCACTTGGTCAGAGGTTGAAGCCTGTCTATCACCAATTCTATCTTTACAACATCTGTAGAGATGCTATCCCTACCTACAATATAACCAAGACACTACACCTGCCTTTTTAATGCACTGAAATACCATTATTAAGGTTCTCAGCTGCAGACTTAAATGTGCAACCAAATACCATGATGTCATCTACATAGACCATGCATCTCTCACTGAAGTTCCTTCAGTATCAACTCCATTAATCTCTCAGGTGCATTACACAGGATGACTAGCATGATGCAAAACTCTTGAAGCTATTTCCCACACTAAATTCAATTTTATATCTGCTTTTCTTATCCAATTCAGGATGCCAGGTCTTAAATGTTGAACCAATGGGATCATTTGAGCATATCCAGACATTCATCTTCCATAGTAGTGGAACGTAGTTAACACCAGATATTATGTTCAACCATACAAAATCAACCTAGGCACGCCCCCTTCTCTTTGACAATCATCATCAAAAATGACCAAGTGTTCTTGGTCTGTTCTCATCTGGCTCATTACCAAGAGCTTTATCTTCCTCATTGGATAAACTAATGCAAAATGAAACAGTATCTTCAACTTCCTTTGTCTCATCCACCTCCATTCATGTCTAGTCTATCATCATTCACCTGTGTAGCGGTTTAATCAACTGTGTTTTGCCTATAGCTATGTGATGGTGAGTTACTACTGTCCAAACAAACTGGTCATCTGGTCCCACAAATAAATCACGATATTCAACTAGCAAATCACCAAGATGTTGCCTCTGCTTTAAGTCCAAAATGTTTGCACAATCCTCAACTATCAACTTAAGATGTGTTGACAACCACTCAGGGACTTAAGCCCTCCTTGGACAGATAACTGCTCAAGCTAATTCTATTATGTTTCTAAATAGATAACTGTGTTACATTGTGCTGATGCACTAGACCTCAATTGTATCAAACCTTGGTACACCACTTGTGTATACAAAGGTATTGCAATTCCCTATGCTACATGCACTCATACAATCCACTGTTTCTTGAACTAGTCTGGCCAGCATTGGGTATAACTCTCCTTGGAACATTAGTTCACCTATTTCACAGGAAAACTGACTGACAGTTCTATAAGATGCTCATCTGGAGGATGATAATGCCAGAACCAAGGTCAGAAATGATTAACTTTATTCTGTGAGTGATGCATCCTAGACAGTCACAGACTTGCTTCTCCATTCACATCTAGTGTATCATCATTCACCAAAATAAAGTCAATGTCAACTAGCCAGGTTGATGGCTTTGCTTGGAGTGCCTGACATTCAGTAAGATCTGTCATTGTCCTGGTGGATCACATATCAACCAGCATCTCATATTTTGTCTTTGTATCTTTCTGGAACATACTGACCTCCACCTAGCCCTGAAAATAGTTTGACTACCTACCAAACCTTCTATTGCAAACTGTCTGTTGCACTCCCAAAAGTTGGTGGGCAAGCCAAACTTGAGCTCCATTAGTTAGTTTTCTGGAGTTGAAGATGTAGCCATTTACTGCTTGCTGTTGACCTCTCCAGCATTTGTGCCATTAGTTAAATTTGATAGCTTTTCCTACTTTGTTCTACTGGCAGTTCATTTTATAGTAACCCAATATTCTACATCCAAAGTATATGTTTGTTCCTCCCTTCCATAGTGATATATGGATGTGTGCATCATTGGCAGAGGCTGTGTCATAAACATCATGGAAGGGTTGGGATAACCCTGCCCATTCACTCTGAGTCTGTGCAGTTGTGTGGCAGCACCAGGATGTGCGAGTGTTTGGTTAACACTTGGTATGGCTCAAGCTTGAAAGGTGCACACTCCTGAGTAGGACAAACTGTCGGATGTGTCATTAGAGCAACTATCACTGCAAGCTTTTCTCTCTTCTGTACCCATATCCAAGTTATAAATTTTCAGTGGCATCACACTACCTATGAAACTCCAATGTCAAAATGTAGTTCTGATACATGTTATTCCACCATGATGATGCCAGAACCATTTTCTGTCACATAACTTACTGACTTGCATATTCAAAATATTTTACTATAACATACTCAACCCTCTGTATTTCAGTTTTATCTGGTATGTGTTGTATTTAACTCAGTATTCAGTTTCATGTTTTTTCATTCTGTTTTATTTAGTGTTGTAGATAAGCACATAATTCTTTATTTTTATTTTAGATTTTTTAAATCCAGCTTTTTATTTTTTATATTTTCTTGTTCATCTTAGGTTGTAACTGATGTTGTTTAGTTTTATTTGATCTGTATTTTTACTGGTTGTTAATCTTTGTATCTTCCTTTATTGTGTATGTTAAGATGTTGTGATAACATGTATAACATAAGGAATCAATTACTGGAATTTAAATTCTTGTATTTGAATTTTAATTTGACTCATTAACATTTAAGGTTTGGATCTAAGAGTAACCCAAGATAGGAAGTGTGATGGTACAAAAATCATATTTTATCTTTTTTTAACTCATGAAGAATATATCTTTACTTAGTTATATTCAAGTAAAATTTTTGTGCAGATACTCTGCACATAGCTTGTGTCATCCTGGATGCAGGGGTCATAAACTTCCACTGATTACTTACTTTATATAATGATTACATACAACAATGCTTGCTCCGTAGGTTAATACTTACTTGGCCTTTTTTGTTTCAGTTCCTCATGAAGGGAGTTCATATTCTCCTTAAGAGGTGGTACGAAAACTTGTACAAGTTGGGAGTTTACCTCCCTTTAATTAGTTTATAAGGAATGATTGCTAATGTAGGTAATCTATGGATTACTGCACTAGCATCCTAGTCTTAGCTGACAATGTAGTTTTATTAATCTTGCACTGCTCCTTTTCCTGTATGAAAATATTTTATATTGAGCCTGTCCTGTCTGGCTGTAAATAATTTTTGCTGTTGTTTTCATTTTAAATAGACATGATTTTATCCAGCATAAAATTAAAGTCTTACAACAGCATCACAATCTGGCCAGTAAGTGAAAACTTACATTGTACATAAAATTATTTTGTTTTATTTGTACTTAAAATATGTTCATTTGCATTTTCTTTACTATCCATACTTATTATATTCTTTGCAAGACATTTCTGGAACTTGCATTTTGTGGATAATTGATACTTTTCTGTCATATATCAGTGTATATATCATATGATCTCTTTCGTATTATTTAGCAAAAAATTAAATTTAGAATTAATGAATACATGACTTTAATGTTGACCTACAATTATACACACAAAACTAACACAGTCTAAATACATTCTTTATTGATTTCTTAGTATATTGAGGTACTCTGCTATATGCAAGTTTTTAACAACTCATGTCAATTAAAAATTGAACACAAGACAAAAAATGTACATACTCTACTGATTATTTGAATTATTTTTAGTATAGTGAAATTTATTTTTCCAGAAAGTGAATTTTTCTTCTATGAACCATAAGATTGTCTGGCCGTGTAAAGTTTCTTTGACATATTTGACACGTAAATGATTCTCTATAAATTCTGTGTCTCTTCATATGACGAAGATATGTTGAACGATCGTAGAAATCTCTTGAGCAATATTCACACCGGTTATCTTTTGATTTCTTTTGTCTTGGTTCTTCAAGAATAGTTTCTTCCAGAAAAATATCTAACAATAAATAAATAAATATGGACTATTTAAGTTGGTAATAATTTGGTTCTTAATTATGATGAAATGTACGTAATTCATTGAAAATAACTACCCAATTTAATAAAATTAAGACTCTTAAGCAAACTTGATATATTACTTCAGGAAATGAAGACTCACAGAATGTGAGAAAGCACAATTACAAAGCAATGACTATTAAGTACATAAGAAAGCCTGTTCATGCCACCAGTCTTAAGAAACAACAGGTCATAATTACAAGAATAATTTTCATACAAATAATGTTTTTTATTCTGTATTCCTTATACAAATCAAAGTCTAAGAATGTATAAATTTCATGTAAACTAAATGCAAAGCAAGTGTGATGCAGGAATAACTGTCAAAAATTAAACACCATAAAAGCAATACTTTGATCAAGGTATGATAAAATCAAAAGAACATAGAAATGAATCCCACAGATTTATTCAAACAAACAGTAAATACTAAAAACGAAAAATATTAGTAGAATAATACATTTCTATAGTAAGTATATCCAGTCTTAAGTTGCATTTTCATCAAGTACAATGTTTAACAGTTTCACACACATGTAACAAGGCTTTAAAGCACCTTAATGACCTCAGCATTAATGCTGATGATTTAATTGCTGCAGCATACCCCATCAAGAAAGTTATAATATCTAAACTTGTGTTAACAGAGAGAGAAAGCACAAGTTTGACTTCCTAAAGTTACATAATTAATTTCTTGTGTTGTCTAGTATACAAATCTCTTAGCATATTGGTTTTTAATAGTTTGGATAAAATACTGTTAATTCTTATGATACTGTTGGATTTGTTACATTTTCAGTTAAAATCAGTACCCTTCATAGTAACATCAGCTAGTTGAGAAGACTATATTCTTCCTCATGGATGATGTTTTTTGACTGAGGAACGAGTTCTTATAATAAAAGAAGTAATATCTGTATAATGCTTGATAATTTGAAACAAAGAACCGTACTTAAGGCAATGTATTCAGTAAACATCAAGAACAGTTATATGGTCTAATTCACAAAAAGTTTTTTAATGAATAAATTATGTATGATTCATATATATATATAGACTATTTTTGATGGTATAAATGAAGCTACTGTATGAGGACCATTTAAACATTCTACCCAATACAAAATAAACATAATTCATAGAACTACCTAAATGGCCATTGACAACATAAGAAAATAGACAATATTAATCTACAGAGCACAATCACTAAAAGTTAGTGCTAAAACACAACCAATATCTTATCATTTATACAGTAAGGCACCACTTAGGTACTTTTGTCCCAGTAGATACCAGACAAAAGTGGATAATGTGTGGAATTCGTTTCTGTATTAATTTAAGATTTCTAGTCGTTTTTTGTAGTCGTTTAGGTTGTTTGTAAATAACAGTCCATGAAAAATAAAATTGTGATACTATACAACATAACCCTTATCTACCAAGGTGGGATCTATATAATTACAAGCAATTTTATTAATTTTCTTACAAAAAAAAATACTTTGTAAAAATTAATCACAGGAGATTTGTAAGAAATATACTACAAGCTTTTTCAAAGAAACAACAACAAAAAACATAATCCTATATGACAATTTTGTTATTCCACATATACACACTCCAACAGTCACCTTAGCTGGGTTCTGCAAGAAGTGGGAAATACAAGAGATATTAATCTTTGCAATATCAACATACATGTACAGTTAAATAATAAACTTTTCTACAATTTTTAGTACAGAAAACTTTGAGAGAATAGTCTGGGTCTTTATGCTAAAATCAATTATTTTCACTTTTCAAAATTTTAAAATCTTTTTCTTACATACGTAGTTGTAAAAATATGCATGTCTTCAAAATAACACAAATGCTGACATGTATGAATCAGTAAGTGTGTATTACAAAAACACGAAATAATTAACACCAACTTGAAATCTTTTTGAAATATTTCTTCATTTCAGACAAGCTTAAACAGACACTCCATGAATGTTTAATTTGTGTTCTTTAACATAATCTTTTCGAGTGTACTTCTTTTGGCATATATCACACATATAATGTGCACGATACGACTTTTTCTTGTGGCGTTCCATGTGTCGTGTTAGGCTGCTTTTGTTAAAGAAGGACATTTTGCAGTATGGACATGTTGGCTTAGATTGAACAGAATGTTTGTCCTGAAGATCAAAGAAAAGTTGCTGAAGCTCTGCAAAATAAAAACATAACAGAACTTACAAGTTTTATTATAAAAAACATTTGTAAAAATTACATCATAACATAAAGTGCATTTACTGCCAGCAATGAAGCACGAATAAAAAAAAACCTTTAACTTCAACCAAAAAGAGATGTGTACTTGGAAATTCAACAATTCTTTCTTGTGAATTTTATCAGGTACATAGTAAATCAAAGTAAGGCAAGAAAGAGAATTATCTAAAAAACAACGAAAAACACACATTTTTGTTGTAAATCTTTCTTTATTGGTAAGTACAAACTAGTAGCTTGTCATATTACATCTAACACTATCACCTATAATTTACTGAGAAATTAGAAATTAATAAGGCAAAATTATGAAAAATAAGTCCACTGGGAAAACAAAAAGTTTTGTTTTTCTGTTATGACAAAATTATATCACATTTAAAACTAAAGCAACACTGCTGTGTAGTTCAGGAAAATTCAACATTTTGATTACTGGCTAGATAGGTAAAACAGTGGCCAGCAGAACACTGAAACTCAAAGAGAAGGAGCTGCTCAAATCTTCATTGTTAAATAAGCTTTCCTTACCTGGACAAGTTTATAAAAAATATACTTCTTTTGTTTAGAACCTTAGGCACATGTAGCCTTTTTTAAGATACACGTGTGTAATTAACTGGGGTATGCAATTAACTAAAGTATTAAAACCCATTCCTAACAAAGTTTTTTTATTTTTACTTGAAACTATATAATGAAAGTAGATAATGAAAAATGTTTTATTCCACTAAAGTATTTTCAAATTCCAAGGAGCAGATTTTTAACAAAAGTATATCATTACCAATTCATAAAAACAATTTAGGCATTTTCTTAAACAGGTTACAATGTTTCAATTTAAAACTATATTTTTTAAGTTAACCATATAGATTAATTACAACAGACCTATGTTTATGGACCTTTGCAATAAATGATGTAATACACAATTACCAAGTCTGATCACACACACACACACACAAACTATGCTACATTCACACAAACATTTCAAAAACCTGTAACAGTTTCTTATTCAAATACACTGGAGAAAAGAAAGAAATTCTAAAGTAAGATATACTTAATAAATCTGCTCCAAATTACATGGAACAGGTAACAATACCAAAGACTAATAATGAGGCCTTTATCAACTATGCTTTCAGTACTTGTATGACATTAACAGACATAATAAGCATGCTGTTTGACTAATAAGAGACAGTCAAGTTCTTGTCATTTAGTATCCAATTCAGTTAGAAGCTATAAAATCTTTTAGCAAAGAATACAATGATCTAAACAAAACAATCACTGTTTAAAACTTGATGCATTTCATCATTAATACTTGCTATAAAGAAATGCCTATGTCCAAGACAAGGATAGAAAATTCAACTGGTTTGTCGTAACATAGCATAATTAAGTAAAAGATACTCATTACCTTGATTTATTTGCATTTGTAAGTAGGATTTCAGGTAATACAACTGTCATTTATAACAGGCAGCACAGTCATTCATGCTAAACAAGCTATACTGATAAGTACATAAATTAAAAATTTCATAAAGAAAAAATGTATTGAGGCAATTTATCTGGTAACATATTTTTTGAAAATCATCAAACATGCTTACATCCAACACTAAATTTGTACTTATTACTGTGATGAAAATATTAGATATAATCAAACATTTTAAAACCTACAAGAATCTTGCCTGAAAAATTATTTTTATTCAATTATAAGAAACTACTATTGTCTTTAGATGAATAAATTACTTAAAATATTTACCTGATTATAAAAACTAACATGTCCTGTATAAATAAAAAAGACACATAGATAATAGAGTTCACATGAAAAACAAAAAAAGGTTTACATTTACTATCACGTGAATCGTTTATATTTACCCTTGCACCATTATCGAAATCCTTTAAATTTAATCATCCTAAAAGAATCACCAGCATGGAAACAAATGTGCTGCACAAAATATTATTATTATATATATTAATAAACATTATTAGATTTTGAAATATATATAAACTATTAATGGTGAAATTTTGTCTGCATGTAATATATTTTCATAGAGAACAACTTTCTAATAAAACTAGGATTACAAAAAAGAAAATATGTACAAGAAGTAAATCATGAAAAATATCATTAGGATGGTTCTACTTCTCTTATATTCTAAATTCACATAAGCTGGGTTATTATTTGATATTAGCAATCAGAATTCCAAACAACTCATAATGAATGCTTATTCACATGCCTAACTTTTTATCAGATTATGTAACCTAGGAACCAGATTAACATTTCAACTTACCACAAGTAACAATTAACAAAATTTTAAATTTTCAACTTATTATAAAACAATTTTTTAATTACACAAACAGTAACATAATTTGTTTAAATCAATTTCACACATAAACAAAAAATCTGATGCTCAGTGTAACCTGTTGTAGTAAAAGGCCATACTGAAAGATGTTCCATTATTCAAAAGTGCAAGAATTCTAAAAAATTTGAAAAAATATTGTTTAAATGGCTAAAATTTAAGGTAAGGTACAAAATCTTTTAAAAAAAAAATCACCACACGTTATTAGCACATTACAATAACATGTGAAATTAGTTAAACACTCTGTTTCTTTAAATTAATCAACATTTTTAGTGATTTATTATACAGACTGTGTATGAAAAGTTATTGTGTTCCATAACTAACAATTAAATCACTGCTAACAAGAACAACACTAGGTTATCGGAGATTTCTATAAAGCTGCACTGTAATTCACCTTGTGAGGTTCTTCAAAAAGGTTGTGCTGATATCAGAGTATGTTATATTTCCTCATAGCCTATATTCTACAAACTACACACACTGAATAGACAGGATCATTAATGGCTTTTCAAATGGTGCATCATATTTCATCCACTGATAAACTTCCCACAAACACAACAGAATGGCTGAGGCCCAAAATCGATACACATACTACCAACAACATTTATTTGTTTGGAAATTTTAATACCCAATTGAATATTATAATAATGCTAACAAAGAAATGCTATAAAATAAAAATGTTAACTGGGATTGAAACAATATCACAGATCCTTCGATACATGTGGGAGAATATTTCAGATATATATATGTCATACTTTATACCCTTAGAATTTCATGCTATTTACAAATAATCATACATAAAAACTTATTTGATCATACTAATTAACTGTAAAACTCTAATATGATATTAATTCCACTAATTTTAAAATATAAATCTTCATATAGAAGTATGCATTTTTGTGTAGAAATGTTAACACAACTGTTAAACAAGTAAGTTACAAACAGCTTATAAATCAATCATAATAATGTCGTACGTGCAATGACCTAGAATTAAGATATATGTTATGTGATTTACCAAACTCTAGTAAAAAAACTTTTAATAACAGTAGTATCTGCAATTCAGATAATGAAATCAAAATCCAGCTTTTTGTTTTTGATGATTAAGATATATCATCAAATTGAAAACGAATTAATTAATAAAACTGTTATGGTTAGCTTTTTAAATATATTTGTGAAAATTTAATTTAAAGTAACATAAGTAAACTGAAATGACTGAAATATTCTTTTTGGTTATATTCAATTATACGTTCTCAAAGAATTTTATAACTTTATCTATTCAATAGCAGTTTTTAATTCAATATTTCCAAAAGTAAATCACTAAAGAAACAGTCAATCTTCTTTTTTCTTGTTTAAAGATTTGATGATTAAAAAAGTTATCAAAACAGTGCTATTAAATAATTAGAGATTTTACTCAATAAGATAAAATTATATTACTATGAAAGATAGCTCATGGAACCCCCCCAGTATTTAGCTCGTTCATGTAAATTCCAAGAATTAGCAGCTACACAAACCTTATAACAATCTTTTTGTTACTTAACTTCTGTAAGTTTAAAATACAAGAAAGTATGTTACAAATTCTGTAATGAATTTATTTTCCCTTTTCTTGTGCCAAGCAGCATACACAAAACTGACACACCATGATATCTTTTACATCTTTTATTGCTAAGCACAAATACCCAACAAATATTTTAATACCACATTTTGATAGTAGAAATTAATCATAAATGTTATAAGTTTAACAGAATTTCTGAGCATAAATCATGCTCAATAGTTTCAAAAGTATAAAAAAAAGCTATTAAATCATAAAGCAAAATTTTATTATGAATGTTTCCATTTGTTCGTGTTTTCAGGAAGTCTCTCATGGACAGTTCTCATGTGCTGTCGTAGCTTGTCACTTCTCTTGAATGTCTTCCCACAGATGGTGCATATCAATACTTCTTGTTTGCGATGTTGATATCGACGATGCCTACACAAGTTGGAGCTCAAGGTAAAAGTGGTAAAGCATATTTCACAAGTGTACTTTCGACCTAGAATAAAAAAATAATAAATGAAAAACAGTTTAGAAGTAAATGACATCTAAAGAAAGATACACAAACTGTTCTGACAATACTATACTATTACATTGAAAAACATAATATAAAATTAACACAGCAAATCTTTGTTTTGCAAATATTTTTACATAGTTACAAGAGTACATTATGAAAAATCTTACTATAAGCTTATATAAAAGAAAAAGTGCTAGCTGCATTTTCAACCTACCACAAATACACAAAGTAGAAGTAAATGCAACTTGCTATAAAAGTATTTATCAGTATTTCCAACCAATCACATACAAAGTTGCTGAAAGTAATTTCAACTTACCGCAAGTAACAATTAAAAACATTTCAAATTTTCAACTTATTATAAAACAATTTTTAAAGCACACAAACAGCAACAACTAATCATTTCAAAGAAAAACAGCACAACACAGAATTTTTGTAAACTTTTAATCCACATGAAACACAAAAATCGATTCTTATTGTAAACCTTGAAGAAAAGAACATGGTAAGCTTTTGTAATGGTCCATAAACCACTTTAAATAATATGCAATAAAGTTGTTACTAGATGCAAATAAACATGAATAATACAACATAGCTGTGGAATGAATACAATTTAGGTTATAATTTGTTTTTAAACACACACTAACTGACACCGTGGCTCAAAATTATTCTTATTAGGTCATTGTTTCCTTTCTTTTTTAACAAATATATATATATATAAATAAACATCAGTCTTTACATTAATTAGTATTATTTTTACTTATTTATATGTACATACATTTTGATTTCAATGGATACTACAGAATCATATTAATTTAAATGCTTCTTGAAGCATTATACCTCAAAGATAATTTTTCTCTTTCAGCCTGTGAAATTCAATATAAAGTACAGTATGTCTTTGCACAAGAAAACAATTTTAAGTTACAGTAATATAACAGCTTGTTTAAATACCCTCATTAACTGTCAAAACAGAAAAACTGTTATACAATAAAATGTGTTCAAGGGATACTATCAGAAAAGTTATGTGAAAACCACAACAGACCTGTGATTACATGATTCTCATTTGTATACAAAATTTTCATTGCATTTTATAAGAATGATTCTAATACGCTAATGCAGTAACACATCAGTTAAGATAGAAGCTAGCTATGGCACTATAAACAGTATATTTAGTGACTAAATTTTATTACACTGTAAATTCCTCATTATTCACTGCATAATTCTGTAATGAATAGATTACAGCTGAAAAGATAGTTTCAAAAAAGAATGCTAGATTGTTAAATGGTGAAAAAGTAAATGACATGAAATTTCAAAGAAAGGAAACTTCAGCATTTTAAAGGAAGCAGAAAATCTCACATAGCAGAGCTTTTAGTACAGCAGTGCACTCTAAAACCACCTGTAAAGCAAAGCCCTCATGTACAATGTGAAAGCTATGGTTGCAAAAAACAACAACAACAAAGAATCCCTGACTCAGGCAGCCACTTCAATGAAGCTAAATATATCTTTTAGCTACATAATATATAACTACATAATAAACGAGAATTTTAAATTAACAAAGGCTCATAGATCAAAAGTTCACAAGCTTCCAGCCACAACTCAGAGTCAGAGGTAGTTTTCACAAGAAAGATAACCAAATAAAGTGCAATAACAACAACCCCATTTGACTAGATACCTGTCAAGCCCTTCAATACAGTTCCAAAAGATTTTTTGTGCCTTTGGTCTGCTTAAATGTGGTTCTGGAAACCTACATTCACATGTGGTAAAGGGCATGTAGAAATTCTGTTCCTTTGCAGAAGTTTGATACAATGAAAATTTTATTGTTGGGCAATAATGTATAATCATGACCTTCAGACTAATAGAATTAGCAGTATGATTAACGTTTAGAGCCACATCACCTTTATCTTTATCAGTACTCCTTAATTATATAATGGTATAAAAAACAATAATGTCTTTTTCAGAAATGATAAGTTGGTGCTTTTTTAAACAAAAATTAATTCCTACGATAAAAATATACACCTGCAGTTATAATAAGAATGAAATGATTTCAAACTGGAAAGTCACTTGTAGAAGTATTTTAACTCAAACCTAAAAGCATTTCAAATAGATCATTTTCGGAAGTAGTGAAGATTAAACAAAAATTCTGAAATGGTAAAATTAAGTTCAAAATTATTAAAAAGAAACCTAGATTAACCTTAGATACTTTAGCTAAAGAAAATGTGTCAAGTATTTTATAGTTACAAATAATGATGTAAGATTATCAAACTATATTGAAAAAATAACACCAAGAAATATAATGTCAATTAAAACAACAATAACATACAAATTGATTTTTCCATGTTAAACGACATACTAATTTCCAATGAATAAACAGGTAAAAACCACCACAAATATCACTGGATTCATACTTTACAAAATTCAAATGAAAGTATCAGAATACTAATTAAGATAACCTTCACAATTAATTTAACAAAAGTTACCATATTAAAACATTTGGTACAATTAACTGTTAATAAAGATCAAAATCTTTATGAAATGTTATAACATGATTTTAAATACATATCAAATTGCACTAAAAACATTTGTAATTTTAAAACCTTAGGCTAAGGAAAATTATTACATGTTTTTGTAACAAAAAATTGTTTTTTTCTTCTAAAGTTTAAATCCTTTGTTACAGAAAAGCCTTGCACAAATAATAATTAGGTTAATCAATAAAATAGTTGCATAGCAGTAATAAAAGCCATTAATGGTGGACTAGTTGTCATTCTACATAACAGTAACTGAAGTTCAGCTACAACACTACATTAGTAATCATGGACAAGGCCTTACTGTACACTCAATACATGTACTAGCAGCATTCAGAAATGGTGGACAAGCTAAGGCTTTTACTGTACTCTATAATCAGTAATTGTGGTTCAGCTACAACACAACAGCCAGTGATGTTGGACAACCTCTCACACTGCAATCAGTAAATATGGCTAAGCTATAATACAATAACCAGTGAACACTTTCTCATTATATAGTCAATAAGTGTGGTTCAGATTTAACACAATGATCGGTTATATAAAAGAGTCAGTCACTGTGGTTTAGCTATATTACAACAAACAGAATTTGTGGTTAAGAGCTGGGCAATTTAATTGATCACCTATGAGCAGCTATTTCATTGATTAGTGTCCCATAAACTAATCAATTAATTGAAATTTCAATTAATCTATATCTCAAAAACATTTAAGCAATTGAAATTAGATGTTCATATTATTACTGTTTTCAATTATTCCAACTATATATGTAACTTAAATAATGTTTGTTCATTGTTAAGCTCAGTTACAAAATGAAGGGTGCCTCATGATTTGAAGGTCACACATTTGATTCCTATTGCCACGAAACTTGCTCATCCTGTCTTTGCTGTTGTAAAGCTACTAAGGCTATCTGCCATTGTAGCTAATTTGGAACTGTTGATTAGAAGGAAGGCAAATGGCTGACATCACCCAAGGCCAACTGTATGGCTACTTAAGTGTTAAATAAAGTATAAATTTATTGTTTTTTTTAGACTGTGTTATGTTTCTAATTTATAATTGCATAACTATATCCTTTAACATTGTATAAGATGGCACAGATCTAGGGTAGAAGTCCAGCCCCCCCCCACAAAATAATAACTGTATTCTTTAATCTTGTATAAGTAGGTAGCATATTCTAGGGGAGAAGTCCAGAAGGCAAACAGTCTCTGCCCATTTCTTACAGAATTAATAACT